GTAATTGGTCTGTTTTTTTTTTAATGAGGCTGGAAACGCAGTGACTCAATGGAGAACGATATGGAGAGATGATATTGAACTTTTAACGGACGACTCATCTCACGTAACAGTGAAGTGACTTGGCCACCAAAATCATGCGATCTTATGCCATGCGACTTTTTCACTGTGGGGATTCGTAAAGTTTATTCTGCTCAAATCAATACCATTCCTGAATTAAAGGCAGAAATTGGGAGAGTTGTCAACGAAATTAAGCCGATATCCTCTTTTATATTTAATGGAAATGCGCACCCCTTAAAAACACGTAAAAACTTTGATAACTTAATCATCACCATTTTCATCATATAAATCCGTTTCTTTTGGGACATCCTTTACTTTATGCGACTTGAAAGTAGGCAAAATACATTTTGAAAATCAACCCCTGACTGATCTTTGCAGTGCAGGAGTATATTCAATATATTTTTTTAATTTACGATGTGGCAAGATACCTAAAAAAATGTACTTGTGTAAGCTAATTTTACATTAATGTACTTTGATACATTTGAAACGTCCCCATTACAACAATCGTTTTATTTAATCATTTAAATATAAAACATCTCGGAAGACAGGATGTCCTCTTCGTTATATATGTCAATTAATGTAATTTATTGTAAACTAATGTTATTCATGACTTTTGTGGGGCCTGGGGTCTGCGGAGCACAGTTGTAACAAGTTCGGATAATTCTGGATCACCCATGTACTACTAACCGCAATACGTTGGAATGTACTGAAAAAAAATGTAGACTGAACTAGTTAAGGTCGTCTCTTAAATTATTAGCTTGCAGATTTGTTGAGTAAGGCAAAACTCATCTACATTGTCTACACGAGAAAAAGTGTTTTTGTATAGTTAACAATATCATTTTCTATTTTAAAATTTTGAAATTTTGAAATTTTTATTAATACGAACGATAAAATAATTTAAGCGTAGGACCATCACAGGGAATTGAGTTTAAGAAGTATTCAAGAATTCTTTGTATCAGGAAATAACTTGTTCAAAACACAGATACATGTGAAATTATCTAAAATAAATTTACAATAGAAAATATCGACCCCTAGGGGTCTACTCAGAACTGCAAGGGGTCCACGAGAGCGACAAGCGACAACAAAAATTGGGGGTGCATAAGATGTAAATGGGGGTCCACTAGGTTGAATACCATTTAAGCAAGTCGTGACCGAAATTTATCTTGCCATAAATGGAATAATTAACATAACACAGATACTTGTACTTACATAATACTTTCTCATAAAAGACATACAGGGTCGGAAAGTCCCCATGGTTCATCGGCCGTTACGTGAGAGCGATATGGTAGGTCATAGAAATCCGTGCGATAGAGAAGGGTGGCTATAATGAAGGCGTCTCATAGTCACCACCTGTTTCGCCCTTCCACAAATAAGATCCACTTCCACTTGTAATTCAGCGACCGGTGGTCATCTTTGTTTTCGTCGTTTGGCATTTCTTTAATAGATGTCATTTCTTCTAGAATTTCGACTTCGGTATTCCGATATGTTAATACCATCCGTTAACAGAGGGCAGCACAACGCGTAACAAAGAAACCTTTTTACAGTGGCTAGTAGATACCTCTGTTTGTAAATCTAGTGACCTTGTTTCCCCTACAGAGAAGTTATTCAAATTGAGTATAGTGCCCAGCTGCATTTAAAGTTCATTTAGTTGTTATTTAAGTATACTTTTTAAAATGACTTAAAAATCCCAAGAAATAAAGCAAAATTCCCTATTTCCCCAATTCCAAAAAAAAAACTGTAGATCTGGAATCACTCTTTCTAGGGCTGCGCCTCACCTTAGACAAATTGTGCTGTCCTCTGTTAACGGATTGTATTAACATATCGGAATACGAAGTCGGAATTGTATAAGTAGTGACATCTATTACAGAAAAGGCAAACGACGAAAACAAAGTTGACCACCGGTCGCTGAATTACAAGTGGAAGTGGATCTTATTTGTGGAAGGGCAAAACGGGCGGTGACTATAAGACGCCTTCATTATAGCCATCCTTCTCTATCGCATGGATTTCTATGACTTACTTTATCGCTCTCACGTAACGGCCGATGAACCATGGGGAATTTCCGACCCTGTATAAATTACATACGAAGTAAAAATGTTTACGAAACATGATGAAAATTTAGAGCTAGATTTGAGGAAACTTTATGACTTCATGCTTTAATCATGGGAAAATTCGAACGTAATTTCTTTGAATTTTAATTAATGCTAATTGTTGGAATATTATCATGAGTTTAATCAACCTATTTCGTTTTACTTGTAAAATTATTGTTATGCTTTTGTTATTGAAATTTAAGTTATTATTTTTCTATATATCAAACTGTTTAAGAATTATTATAAATTTCGTAATAAACAATAAATTAATCAACTCAACTACATATTAAAAGTATATTTCATAAAATTGTGAGTATTCGCTTTGTGGTCGCAACACTTGTAACTTGTAAAAACTTGCACTGTGTCAGAAACACATTTGAAGTTGATGAATTTGTAACAATTCAATATTAGAAATGCAGCGGTCTACCAAAAACAGAGCAAAATTGTAACGTGGTCTACAAAACAAAAAAGTTTGGGGACCTCTGAGTTAAAGCAATATCGTCAGGAATCTTGTCTGTGAAGTTAGAGATTAGATTTTTGATATCAAAGAACATATTTTGATTTCATTTGATAGGATTTTTAGGAAAAAAAGTACCAGAACTTATAATAAAATATATGTTTAAAAAAACTTAACTAATGATGAAGATTTTTACTGCTTAAAACTGTATGTAAAAAAATAGAATAAAGTTAAGTACATTAAGAAATATAACTGAATTCGATTTCTATATTTTCTATTAGTCTTTTAATTTTGAGACAGGATTAAAAAGGAAATCAATCATGCTTTGGACGATTTCTTTTATTTTTAAAACTCCTTTGAGCGACTCATATGATTTTCTTTACTCTCTTTTTAAGTTTATATTTTTACATTATTGCTACCATTTGTCAGAAAAAAATTAAATTCGCAAATTTTAAAACTGTTATAAATTAATTGATACATAATATCTAACTTTTCAGAAAATGTAACATGACATATGCAATCTGCGAAATAAAAAAGATTAAGAAATTGGCACTTCCTTGCTACTTGTGATATTCTCACTTTTCAGTCGAAGTTTACAATTGACAGAGACCATTGAAAATTGACACAATTGTTGCTAAAATGGGGATAGGCACAAATTATCTAAAAATTTCCAAATAACACACTCATTTAAATAAAACATATATACTCACTCTTATAATTTTGTCAGTTCTTTTTATACAGAGAGTTTTTTCGCAATAACGGTGTATATTATACCAACATATATTTGCATAAATAAAATATTTAATGTTTAATTTTAAAATAAAAGTTGTAATATGTTAACTAATTTAATGTAATAAGATGTATTGTATGCTTTAAAAACACTTTAATCCTTACATATAAGCTCAACATATTCTTTAGGCTCATAAATTTGTATTGTTGGAAATTTTATGTAGACTCAAGAGCAGCCAAAGATATGTAAAATTAATTTATTACTATTTCAGTAAATATTTTATATTAGTCGGATTCTTGTAAGTGTTTTCCCAATGATGTCTAAATATTAAACTACGATAGGTTTATTTTACACAAATATTAGTGAAAAATTTGACACAAGTTGTGTTTTTAACTTGTATTTTAGAAACAATTGTGTGAATTTTAATTTCCATTATAATTATTTCTGTGTATACGTTTAAAATAAAATTTTTTATTAATGAATAAAAGACTAATAATTGTCGTTTCAGAAATATACACAGTGTAAGAACAACATTGGAAACAACTTTCAGGGCTAATATCTCTCGACAAATAAACAAAGAACGACCAATAATGACAATTTCTGAGTGCTCTAGATTCTCCAAACATTAGACTTGATATATATATATATAGCTTTTAAGAAATTACTCAAGAATAATTAAAGATATAGACTACAAATTTGGTATGGTCCAATTTCCCCACAGTACATTGTAAAATTTAATCAAAAACTAATCGGTGTCTTGAAATCAGTAGGAATACGAGGGGTTGCAATTGTTAAAAAAAATATTTGACATCGCAGAGAATCTTTTTTTCAAAAGTCATCTCCCAATAAAGCTTTTTGCCTATTGATTTGAGAGATTCAGTCCACTCACCTTTCATTATAATAAAAGCAAATTTATCCAAAATTTTTCTGATTTGCTGCTAAAAACGCTTCTAACTTTGTCATAGCTTTTAAATTTTTAATCATAAATGGTGTATTCTACGAAAAAAAATCAAGAGAGACAAGTTTTATTGACAAATAATTTTTCAAATACACGCTGTTACAAATTCGCTTCTCACTACAGGGATCTCGGAAACGGTAAGAGATACGAACTAGCTTAAATGGGGGCAAAGTTGCATAATCAGGGGACCAACATTATGCTTCTAAAAAATCAGGACTAACATGATTGAAATATTTGAAAAAAAAAACGAAATTTTGGAAATCCGTTTATATTTCATTTCATTTCAGCCTTGTTTGAATAAAATATGTCGATTTGGCAGAAAAATTTTTTCTTGTTCTTATGTTTAAAAAGTCCTGTTTACTTTGTACCGCAGCTTGCAATGAAATATAGACAGGATTGTTATATAGATAAATGTTGTGCAGATGGCTAATTGAGTAACTGGAAATCTATGAAAAAAAAAATACAAAAAAATAACGCCGTTATCAACATAACGATACAGACTCCATTACAATTCCGCTTCTTATCGTCATCTTCTTCGAGTAATCACAGAGGGCAAATCCCAACAAATCATTGTGCATGAACCCGATAACCGCAAATCAATATTATTGGCGGAAGCACTGATATTGGAGCATATTTTTCTTAGTTTAGTAAACTGAGGAAGGCATTCCATTGGACGAGGAGCGATTGTTTATTTCTGTTTTTTATTTACAGAGGTCGGAGACATCAAATCAAGAAGCTGAATCCTGCTCTGGAAGAACGCCTTGTGGGTGGGCTATCTACAACAGGACGACGCGATACATCGAGTATTTTATGAAGAACAGGTTGGTATTGTCCAGGGATTGATTTATTTTGAAAATAAAGTAAAAAATGAGTCGCGATTATTAATTTTTTTGATGCCCGGTCAATTTTTGGATATTAATTTGACGAAAGCTTCTATTCAGTTTTCCATACAGGGTGATCCAGGGCTAGAACAGTGATCATTGTTTCGTTTAAAAGTTCTAGGTTCTAGGTTATTAAAACTTCTGGTGTTTTTTAATTAAAATCGCCGTTCCCTAAAAAGAGTGTTTTCTATAAGGACAAAAGATTATAAGCATTTAATAACTAAACTATTTAGGGTTTAAAAAATGACAATAACTTTATTTTATGACACCTGGCTATTTTCAAGGATAACGGACAAACAAAAAGAGACAAAAACAGGCTGGCACAGTCTTTTTAAATTTGACTGAACTTGCGTGAGGATTGTATTCGTTTTCCTTATTTTTTATTTTAATGTGACTAATTGTAGAAGTTTACGAAGAAATTCCAACATTTTCAACAATCTTTTTAAGTACCAAATCATCACCTTTTGGCAATACAAATACTAAGAATACCTAAGCTGAACATTATAGTCTCCAACAAAATGCATCGTTCTTATTTATAGCTCCGTTTAAAATTTATAGCTTTGAAATTCATTGATTTTTCTGCATTTTACGCCACTAGTACAGTCATCTTTATATCTAGTAACCCACATAGGCCATCTGACTCGAAGTTGGTATACACTATAAGGATGGCGAAAACAATAAAAACCATCAAACATTTAATTTTCTACACCTCAAAAAATTTCTCTTGTCAATTTGTCTTAAAATTGCTAGATTTGTTGTATAATATAATCATCATACCTTGTATAATACAGGGTAGCCCATCGAAAACGTACCGCAAGGCATTACAGTGTAGTAATGAATTTTTCGGCAAAATCCAAAAACAGGTCAAATTTGTTTCTGAGGGGGACAACTTTTATCTCAAAGAGCCTACCAAAATCTTCAACCCCCCTAAGTGGGAGTACTATCCCCTAAATTTTTTTAAATAGGAATGGGCTCAAGTGTTCATTAGAAAGGGCTTTTAATTCTCTATACATCGATTCTTACTTTTTGAAAATCGATTCATTATTTTAGAAAATATACAGCTTTGAAAATACGAACAATATTTTTTACGAGTAATTCGAAAATCGATTTAATTTTACTTCAAAACTTACGGTATTAGTCAAGTAAATGCTGAAAATGTTGTCCGCCAACTTGCATACAATAATACAGGTTGTCTTCAAACCGTTGTCGAACATTCTGGAGCACTTGCGGTGTTACTTCGCGACATACATTAATGATTCGTCCTCGCAGATCTTCCAAGGTATCAGGTGGAGTGCTGTAAACTTTGCTTTTAATGTGCCCCCAGAGAAAGAAATCTAAAGGATTTAAGTCGGGTGACCGAGGGGGCCACTCAATTGCACCTCTTCGTCCTATCCAGCGTCCTGGAAACGTCTCATTTAGGTAATTGCGCACATTGAGCGAGTAATGTGGAGGAGCTCCGTCTTGCTGGAAAATCAGTTCGTGTTCATTGTAAGCAGGGTCGTCCTCTATGATATTTGTTAGAGCTGGGTCGATGACATTTTGTAGTAAATCCAAGTACATATCGCCTGTCAAATTTCCAGGAAGGAAAAAAGGACCTACAATGGAATTTCCAAAAATACCTGCCCATACATTCAACTTCTGGGGGTGTTGGGAGTGTGTCTCATGGAAAATCCTTGGATTGGTATCAGCCCAGTAACGACAATTATGGCGATTCACTAAACCATTCAAGAAGAACGTACACTCGTCCGAAAAACACACATTAAAGAGGAAATTATCGTTTATCGCTCGTTCAGTCATTATTTCGCAAAATTGCAAACGACGATCAAAATCGTCTTCATTTAGCTCTTGCACTAGCCGAATCTTATAAGGATGGAATTTGTATTTTTTTAATATTCGTTGGACACTTGTACGACTCACTCCTGTCGCAGTAGCCAATTGCATTGTACTCAGCGTACTATCCATTGCCACTTGCCCCAATACCGCTATTTCCGTAGGTTCATTTAGTACCGGATTTTCAACCTGCCTCTTTTTGTTATGAACGGAGCCAGTTTCGCGAAATTTGGCCACCAATTCGCGAACAATTTTTCCAGACGCATGTTTCTCAGGATGCCGTTGGTTGAACAGTTCGGCGACCCGATTTCCGCATTCATTGTTTTTGAAAAAAAGCTCAATAATTTCTACTCTTTCTGGAATTGAGTACACCATAATTAATCAATTTAAAAGACTCGGCAGTATTGGTACTCTTCAACTACAAGTCACAAGACAGTTATCTAGCAACTTCTTGTGGCCTATCTAAATACGAAACAAAAAGCGGACAATTTTTTGCTCACCAAAATCAGGCTAAAGAATTCGCAAATCAGAAAAAAAAAAAGAATTCTTTTGAAGGAATTTACCAAGCTAATACCGTAAGTTTTGAAGTAAAATTAAATCGATTTTCGCATTTCTCGTCAAAAATATTGTTCGTATTTTCAAAGCTGCATATTTTCTAAAATAATGGATCGATTTTCAAAAAGTAAGAATCGATGTATAGAGAATTAAAAGCCCTTTCTAATGACCCCCCACTTGACCCCCATTCCCATTTAAAAAAATTTGGGGGATGGCACCCCCACTTAGGGGGTTGAAGATTTTGCTATGCTTTTTGCGCCAAAAGTTGTCCCCCTCAGAAGCAAACTTTACCTGTTTTTGGATTTTGCCGAAAAATTCTTTACTACACTGTAATGCCTTGCGGTACGTTTTCGATGGGCTACCCTGTATTATACAAGGTATGATGATTATATAATACAGAGTATTCTATAAACTATATGACAAACTTTGACAGATGGTAGCTACATTAATTTCAAACATTGTAAATAAACATAGGTCCGATTTGTTTTTGTTTAGAAATTATGCATTCAAAAAAAAATATAATTTCATATTTCAATCAAAGTAACCTGATTAATAAAAATGATGGTTGCCATAATTATTTGTGTCATTTTGTTTATTCACTTGACACATAGCTATGAAGTGTTAAATAAAAAAATGCGTTTACTTACAACTGAAGAGTATGCAGATATTGTTTTTGTGTCTATTGATTTGAGAGACAAAATGAAGAAGATATAATAGATGCTGTCATTGACAACTATTCAATTAGTCTTCGGGGTACAGCAAGTAATCCTTCATTTATCACTGAATTTTGTATGGCATGTTTTGAGCAGAGAAATGTTACATGCGTATCATCGCCAAAATATACAAGCGTTACATGCTGTAGATGTTACAACTCAGCGATTACAGTATTGTCGCTGGTTACTTCAACATTCCTGTACAAAATGCTAGATTCCTGTCGCTTGTCATGTGGTCTGATGAAGGGTGTTTTAATGTGGACGGCATAAATAATAATCATAATGCACATATTACAAAATCCGCATGCAATTAGATCAAGATGATTTCAGCAACGTTTCAATGTCAACATTTGGAGAAGCATCTTCAACAATGATTTACTGCCTGTACATGTTTTAAATGCATAGAACTTTCTTGGAAAACAACCTTTTTGATTTCATTGATGACGTAGGGCTTAATATTGTTCCAAAATATGTGGTATCATCACGATAGTGCACCACCACATAGAGGGAGACAAGTAACTGCTTGGTTAAATGATCATATCCCGAATAAATTGATAGGCTAACAAGGTGCAAGAGCAATGCCACCTCGTCCCCCAGATCTAAATCCTTTGAACTGTTATTTATGGGGACATCTGAAGCAGCTTGTCGACCATGTTGAAATCACTACCCGTCAGCAGTTACTTGAGAGAGAATTTAAAACATTTCAAACCAGATAAGAAATGATCCAAATCTCATTCATAGAGTGACGGAATCTTTAGTTCGCCGATGTGAGGCTTTCATTCGAGCCGAGGGTGGACATTTTAAACAATTTTTATAGTCTTAAGATTTATTAATTTGGTTAATAAAGGTTAATAAACTTTAAACACAAATAATAATTATTGTTATAGCAACCATCATTTTTACTTAATTTATCAAGCTACTTTGATTGAGACATGAAATAGTATTTTTTTAAATGCTTGTAACTTCTAAACAAAAACAAATCGGACCTACGTTCGTATAAGAAAAAATCTTTGAAATTAACCCAGCACAGTTTGTCATAGACCTTGTAGAACACTCTGTACATCATATCGGTCCTTTTCTCGCGTAATGGCATAACTGAATATTAAAATAAAAGGATGTTTTATTAAAAAAATACAAAGTCTTTATTTTGACACTTTTGTGATAATCATGTGTTTGGCCTAATATAAAATTCCGACGCTTCAGAAAAATAAGTACTACTTTCATGTTTAACAATTTTTTCTGTCTGAAAATAGCAGTTGTATATAGTTTTTTCACCACATTTGGGGCATAGGTACCTACGAAAAATACAGGGTGATTTTGAATAGAGTAGCACAAACGCTACCAGTGCATCTAGAAGAAAAAATAAGGCGAATGAACTAAATATACCTTAGACAAAAGTTGCATTCCTGAGGAATTACAGGGTCTTGAATGTTGTAGAGCCAACCAATATTTACTGCAATTTATCTTGAACGATGTGGCGTAAATAATTTATATTTGGTACAGACATTTGTCCAGTGTGGGCACATACTTTCTATTAATATTGTTTAAATATATCCACCAGAGGCGCTGCTGTCGACTACATGCAACATATTACTCCAAAGAATTTTTCACCCTGTATGAAAATACATATCTTATTTACATTTTCGGACGTAACAACTAAAAACAAACATTTTTTCTCTCTTGCATTTTTTCGATAAACGCGATAGTTTTTTTAGATAATTTACGAAAAACAAACTTCGGAAATTTTACAGCGCCAATGGTTGCAGTCAGGTTGCAGTAATACAAAAACATCAACACACCACTCATTAATAGCTAAAGGAAAACGCTTTTCTGGTAAAGTAATTTTAATAAATTTATTTTGAAGGAACAGTAAGTATTCGTTATGTAACAAATCAAGTTATTTTAAGTGTCTAATTTAAATAATAAATTTTAATTTAAAACTACCTACTGTAATCTCGAATGTAATACTAAGGAACATAACGTTATTTTAAAGTAAAAAGTTTCTAAAGAATATTTTCAAAGTAGTTCCCATTTTTCTGTAAACACAATCTAACACGACGATTAAAATTATGACGTACTCTTGCAAATATTTCTGGGTTGTTACGAATATCGTCAGCTGCGAGAAAGATTTTTTGACGCAATTCTTCAACAGTATTAACAGGAGTAGCATAAACAAGACTTTTCAGTTGTCCCCATAAGAAATAATCAAGTGGGGTAATGTCCGGTGAACGGGCAGGCCAACTAACGGGTGCATCGACACCACGACCTATCCAACGTCCCGGAAAATTTAAATTCAACCATTGCCTGACAGCTAAGGTACTATGTGCCGGAGCCCCGTCATGCATGTACCACATGACTTGTCGTACACCTAGTGGTATATCCTCCAATAGTATTGGGAGATTTTCATTTAAAAATCGAATATATTCAAGAGCTGTCAGTCGATAGGGAAGAATAAATGGACCTATTAGAGCATCTCCAACAATTCCTGACCATACATTTACACTAAAATTGTGCTGAAATCTTGATGGACGTATTTCATGAGGGTTTTCATCAAACCATATATGACTCTGTTACGATGGTTAACTAAGCCATATCTTTGAAAACATGGTGAACAAAATATGAGATAAAAAATTTAAGTCGTGTCTGGACATGTTAAGGTACCACTGGCAAAAAACAATCCTTGCAGGTAAATCATTTGCAGTTAATTCTTGAACCGGCTGGTGGTGAAAAGGGCGTAAAAGGTTATCGGGAATCAAGTTCCAAACAAGGCTTTGCGAAACGTTGTACAATTTTTGTGACATTCAAAAAATACTTGGAGCATATCAACATACTCATTGTTAGTAAAGTTTGCCATAATTAAACAACTATTATTTGAAACCGTTGATGACACTGACATATCAACACAAAAATAGCAAATTGTTTACTCAGCAAATTTGTTTCCGATTTACCAGGAGCAACTATGATGTTGGCGAAGTATTCCCATACTTATCAATTTAAGCAGGAAATCCTCAAACAAATCGTGTTAGATTGTGTTCAAAGGAAAGTGGGAACTACTTTCAAAATATTCTTTATAAAATTTTTACTTTAAAATAACGTTATGTTGTAGTATTACATTCGAGATTACAGTAGGCAGTATTAAATTAGATATTATTACTTAAATTAGACACTTAAAATAATTTTATTTGTTACATAAAGAATACTCCCAAATAAATTTATTAAAATTACTTTACGAGAAAGGCGTTTTTTTTTGCTATTACAGAATGGTGTGTTGATGTGTTTGTTACTGCAACCATTGGCGCTGTGAAATTTCCGAAGTTTGTTTTTCGTAAATTATTTAAAAAAAACTATCGCGTTTATCGAAAAAATGCAAGAGAGAAAAAATGTTTGTTTTTAGTTGTTACGTCCGAAAATATGAGAATAAGATATGTATTTTCATACAGGGTGAAAAATTCTTTGGAGTAATATGTTGCATGTAGTCGACAGCAGCGCCTCTGGTGGATATATTTAAACAATATTAATAGAAAGTATCTGTAAGCATGGACAAATGTCTGTACCAAATATAAATGATTTACGCCACATCGTTCAAGATAAATTGAAGTAAATATTGGTTGGCTCTACAACATTCAAGACCCTGTAATGCCTCAGGAGTGCAACTTTTGTCTAAGGTATATTTAGTTCATTAGCCTTATTTTTTCATCTAGATGCACTAGTAGCGTTTGTGCTACTCTATTCAAAATCACCCTGTATAAAAACACGTTATAAATCAAGCATTACAGAGTGAGCCAATAGTTGTTTTTCTTCAGGTGCTTTTGTGACAACGAAAAGAAGTGCCTGAGAGACGACGACGACATCTCCATAGCGGCCTACGTGTACCGTTGCAAAGTGGAGGTACTTCAGGAGGGGAGCAAGTCATGATTTTCGAATTCCCCGATAAAAGCATAGGGAAAATTTTCTCAAAATTAACCTAAACGAAATATTTACAAACACACACACACATCCAATTTAGTTCCTAGACTTTATTTTTTGTAGATTTAATAGATCCTGAAGTAGATGCATCTCGACTGATCAGTGTTAATGTAGGATTTTTATACAAGTATTTTATGTATGTTAAGACAGCTTATATGATGACCTCGACACATCAGCTTTGTAAACTGTATAATCGTAACAGAAAATTAAAATGTTAGGTAGATGTAATATATTGGTTACAGCTTTATAATATGAATCTATGTATCAACTAAGAAAAAGAAATTAATAAATTAAACTCAGCAGACAACCAATTTTTTTGTAAGATATTAGGTAGATATGTATGGTATCAACAACGATGTTTACAACAAATACATTAATTTCTGTTAGAAAAAATATTTATTATATGTGTTTTTGTAATACAATCGTGCAATTGCAATTTGTTCTGTTTTATTTATTTTTCTTAGGTGCATATAAGTTTGTTTTGTAAGATCACTTGTTCTGTTTTTAATTATATAGTTCATGTTCTGTGCTTTTTAAACATTCTTTTATAAAATGATGTGTTCTGGTCTTTAATGAGTGTATATTTTAGTACTTACCTTAACTTATTATTGAATGTATCATTATCAGAGTAGATTATACGGGGGGAATTGGTTGCTAAACTACTTCTCTCAGTTTATTTGGTAGTATTTAGTATTATTTTAGATTAGTTGAAATTAATATGTCATCATGATTCACGTGTCATACTCACTTATTGTAGCTACATCTTACTTTCTAGTACAGTACAAGAAAATGTCATTATCTTTAGATATTTTCTGTAATACATGTTTACAGTTTCTACAATGGACCTTTCAATGGATTTTTATTGTGCATTAAATAAATAATTTCTGAACAGATTTTTACTTACCTTTCGATTATTGTCCCTGTGTTGTATTTGCTTAGTTATCGATACGACTACAAATTTGATATTCGATAAAATGGCGAATGCGCTGGTGAAAACTATTTTAAAAATTTACTAATTTTTTATCCCACTAATGCCTAATTTTGGACTTATTTAAGCTATCCTGATACCTACATTTTAATAATAACATTCTTGGTCAGATTTATTAACCATATGATTTCGATGTTAAAAAACATTTTGTTTTTATTTTTTTTGTGATTTAATGTACCTACAAGCTCGTTGAAATATTGAACTTAAAGAAAAACTGCAACCACTAGCGTTTTCAGTAGGCCCAACCATGTTTTCCTCTAGATTTTGAGCACTACTATATTTTTAGAACTATTTTTTGGAATAATTCAAATACACTTTGTTGTTTAGCAATAATATCCTCCACCCTTTGATCTCTCTAAATATCGCTACAGAATCCTCAAATCAAAATGAAACAATTTGGATCAACTTACCTATACAGAGTGTAACTTTAGGCGAGAGTCAGTTTTTTTTAGAGATAATATTAATCTGAAAACCTTTTTTTTTATTCAAATAGTCAATAGTGTTATAATTAGTTTCTTAAATTGAACTTTAATTCTTGTGTACATCCAGTAGCGTCTGACCGGCGTAAATCAGGGCACTTAGAATTAGTGTGATAAGTTGTATCAGTGCCCCACCAGCGTTGTCAGTTATCTTTGTTGGACAGCGAAAATGGAAAATAATTTATTAAAACAGAACTTAGAAACGTGTCATTTTAAAGTCACCATATTTTTTTGATATCACTGTGGTCGAAGCGCCAACCATTAAAAAATCATTCTATCGTTTCTAAACAAATAAAAAATTTTAAATATTTTATTAAATTTTTAAATGATTTTTTAAATTGGTACGGAGATACATCACTAATTGTAGATAAAACAAATTAATGTTTTAAAAATTATTTTCCCTGTTTTAAAAAACGAACATAAAAATAAATAAATCTAATTAATATGAAATAACCATTTTTTTTAATCGTTTCAATTTTTTACAAACAATTTTAAGAAGTGCATGTATTCAGTGTGCGAATCTCGGTGTCAATGACATCCGACATTGACCTAGTTTCGTTGAACTATACTACTGTACTACTGATTTAGGATACTTATTTAAAATAGTGATGTACAAAAATACGGAATGTTTCCACTCTTTCTTCTTATTCAGCAATTAAATTAATCTAAAATAAAATAAAATAACAATAAAATTGAACCGTGAACAGTTTAAATTTAAGTAGAATTCCATCATGTTCAGAACGCTTCCGAGGTGCAACAGAGGTTAGTCGGCGTTGTTCTGTTGCAGTGTCACCTTTGAAAGAGGATATGCCGATTGTCTTCGCACCTTTTGGTAAGTTCAAATATGGAAATCATTTCTTATTTTCAGTTTTTGTTTGTCGAAACTGGTTATATTTTGATAATAAAGCGTTGATTTTTTGAGGATAATTTCTAGGCTCATATAGACAATTTTAATAAAAAAGTTTCATGAGTTTGTGCCCTCAAAAATTAAGATAGGACCGACCCTGAAATCTCAAAACGGAATAAATTCTTTTTTGTTATTTTTATGAGAAGAGTCATTGTTCGGTAGTATTCAGAAAACAAAATGTGAAATAGTTGAACGAAACAGAAAAAAAAACAGCGGACTCTACCTAGGCACCCAGGGGTTTTCGGGGTCGCTGATTCCGATGCCGAGGTCAGTTAACCTTTATCACGTCAGGTTCAAGGTCATTTGACGGTCAAACTAAGAAAAGGTGGTTGAAAAAATCTTTAAAAATTCAGACATAGGTTTTTTGGGTCACTGACAATGAATCTGAATCCGATGTCAATTGACCTCTATCACCTCATGTTCAAGGTCGTTTGAAGGTTAAAGTAAGAATAGGAGGTGAAAGAAATTGAAAAAAATTTTAACGAATGCTCACATGCCTACTTTTGTCTGTTTATATTCTGCCTTTTTACCTGCACACCTGTTTGTTTGCTTGCTAGTCTGTATTTATCGTACGCTTATATTTTCTTTCTGTCCATCTATCCGACATCCTGCCTTTCTACCTGCCTTTCTGTGAGTAATTTTGTCTATCTTCCTGTCTGACTAATTGACTAAACATTTCTGTCTGTCTGTTAATATCCTAAATATAAAACCAGGCCCATTATCTTCAAATTTGGTACACGAAGATACATTTTTATTGTGATTAAGTTGTCCCAATAAAATTTTTCAACGCCTTATATGAAAAAGGTACTTTACCCATGTAGAATTTTTTTTGCTTCTGACAAGCTTTAGTTAATTTTTCAGAATTAAATGTATGTTATAAATCATTTTTTAATTATAGGTATAGGATCTTTTCCCAAAACGCCAAAATTTTAACTCAAAATTGTTTTGTTATTAATTCTATTAAGAGAATCTAAGAACATCCTGAGCATAATCAATGCTGGAAAAGGATTGGTTATTCATGTGGTGGGTGTTTTAACGGATTATAAAAATTAAAGTATATAGTGATAGTTTGATAAGGTCTGGTACCCAAGCAATGAAAAAATTTCTAATGGAATTCGTGAAATGAAAAATTAAAATATGTCTGATCCTGAGATCTCAAAAAGGGTTGCACATTTTCATAATCATCTGATAGATGCAAAAAGGTATATTCAAAATTTTTATTTATCTTCAAGAACAATAAAATGTCAATGTCAAATTAAAATTTAAATACTATACGATGAAGAAAAATACAAAAATCACCTCAAAGTACCTATTAGTTGTTTACGAAAAATCATATTCTGCAAATATATATGCAATACTTTTCTCAAGGTCGTCACCCTTGTTTCAATTTTTTTTTTCACAAATTTTATTGGAATTTTTTCAGCATGAAAGTTCTCTATACGACCTAAAAAACGATATGGATCTCAAGTTTCATTATCAAAATATCACCACTTTAATTTTCGTGAACTATCACTGATTATTAGATTTCTAATGGTAAAATCAACTGATACAGACAGACATTTATCATTTTTTTGTAGAGGGCATACTGTATTTGTTGGTTTATTTAAACAACAGAATTTTTTCATAAAATGAAAAAAAACTTTTTTCCTCTTTTCAACTCCAATCATGGACACACTGTATATTTCAAGATATCAAAGTTGGCTATAACCTATTTCAATTTTTTGTTTCGATAAAATTTTTTTCAGTTTATAATTAAAGTCGTCTACAGAGTTTAAAAGAATATTTTCATAAACACGCTGTATATTTTCACCAACTGGATTTTTTTTTACTTATAAGTATACACATTTTTAAAAAAAATATACTTTTCATACATTTAAAATTATTAATTCAAATTTCATGTTTTATATAATGTGGAAAATATAAATTTTACCAACTACTACCCAATCTACATACAAAATTCTAAAATCGCTTTTTCACAAGCTTCGATATCGACTGTAAAATAAATTCCGCCTCGTTATAAAACTTTTACGGAAACTATTATGCAAAGCTGATGGCAGTAACCCAAGAATTAGCATAACTTTAATAAACTGTACAAAACAAATAAAATAATTATTTGTTCAATAAGTGCATTATTTATTGCCTTATTTTTTTAGGACATGAGTTCGGTAACATCAAATCAATAATAGAATAATTGATAAAAAATAGCAGGAGCATAAATCAAGCATTTATCTGCACATTTTCTTGTAAACTCAACCAACTCCTGTCAGTTCGCGATTCATAAATCACACGATTTAACTCCTACGATAACATCAGGGGCAGCGTTGCAAAAACTTTCTGCGATAAGTCATGACAAACATTTGCATAGACTGTGACCGCAGCAACGGGTCACTTCCTTCGCTTGAAAAATCAAAGTCAAAAAGTTATCGAAGTGGAAAATTTGTACCCGGAATGGAATATTGATGTTCACAATCAAATATTCATAAAATGCCGGGGAAGTGGGTTAAGAAAAAAGTGTTAACTTAAAAAAAACATATATTTGAGTATACATTTTAAAAACAATATAATCTTCTATATATACATGGTTAAATGGGTGATACGTTTTATATATTAGGGCACCAGGCAACAAATTTTAAAAAAATTGTGAATTCTGGAAATTATATACATTTTTCTTAGAAAATGTTTGAATGTTAATTATATTAATGTATTACATTACAATTAATTGTTTTAGTGGATTGAGAAATTGTAAAAATGGTCTTTATCAATTTCTATTTACTAAAACCGTTTAAAAAAATAATAATTTAGGAGCATCTTTTTTAAAAATTATGTTAACAAATTTTTCATTCAAAATCTAATAATAAGTGAGCAATTTCTATAAAAATGTATCCATTTTTAAATTTTATAAAAGGATTTTTTGTTTCTGAATTAGTGTTCAAAAAGAACAGTTTTGCAGATTTTTGGCAGGATTTGCAGTTTTGAGGGGAGTTTCTTAAATGCCCTATTTTTAGAAAATACAAATTTATTTTGTTTTTTACCTTATATTAATGGCTTGTCCATATTTAAATCAGAACACTCTGTATAAAGTAGTATTAAGTATATAATGAATCTTTTTCTTTTGTAACTAAAAACTAAATAAAAAGGACAAATAGTATAAAGCGGGTTAAAAATTAAATTAAGTTTCAATTTCTTGATAATTTGTATCTCTGTATGTAATTTCCGGAATTCACAGCACGCACTTTGCTACAAAAAAATATCACATTATAAGGCGTAAGGCAGTTCAGAAGCCATTGTCACCCTCTTCGAATGCGTGTCTAGCAATACTGCTACGATTAGAATATAAGTCGAGCAATCAACGTCAATCGTTAATAGTTTTATTTGGTTTCTGGATGTAATACTCTTTGATCAATGAACGTGTTAAAATTAAAGACATAACATTTTAGGGAACTAACAAATTAATATTCAAGAAAAGGTAATCACAAGGAACGAATACTAAGATCGAACATATTTCTCTTTTAAAATATT